ATGGCCAGTCGATGGTCGGAATTGGTTCAGAGAAATGGACATATCATGGAGTTTCATTGTTCAAAGTAAGAGTGGGTAGGTAGGCCCGGGTTGGCGTCCTGGTCGATAGAAGTTGCTTTTGAACATGACACTTCGATTTGAAAGCTCACAACTTGATTATGTGGTTTTGTGTCAAAAGGGACGCTGGAGATGGGCGAAGTTGGGAACGGGGAGAAGTGAGAAGAATGAGAAAGAGAAAGAGAAGAAGAGAGAAGGAGTAGGGAAAAAAAGTAAGGAGAAGAGCGAATGTGTGTGAGGCAGAAGGAAATAAAGAAGAAGAAAAAAGAAACAAGGTGGATTAGGGAGTGGTGTAAATGAAAAGAGAGGATAAGAAATCGTAGGAAATGGCTAAAAAGGAGGCGATACAGACGCACAAACACACATACATACATATATGCGAACACACAAAAACACAAACACACGCACACACAAACACAGAGAGACAAAAACATACACACAAAATCACACATACACATAAAAATGCACATACACACAAAAATATGTTGCGAGGTTGGCATGTGAGAATGTGATCAAATATTTCGCAGCAGATCTAAACTTGTCCAGAAAACGGTTATATACAAAAGTAAAAGAGTGCTCAATACACAATGTAAAAAAGAAAACCCAATGTTCAAAGCCATTAAATATTAAAGTCAAGGAATACTAACCACTCATGTTACCATATGGTACCATAATTGGATAGTCTTACAGATCGATATATATATATATATATATATATATATATATATATATATATATATATATAATTATTTATTTAAAAATATGATTCCAACTCGCGACATAAGAGGTCTCATGTTTCAAAACAAGAGCCGAAAACTTCAATATAATTATTTGAATTAAATTGAGTAAAAGTAAGCTCTGTTCCATCTTCAAGCGAAATTTTTTGGGAATCATATTTTTAAATAAATAATTATATTTATGCTCTACTTTTGTATCGAGCACTATTTTTAAAAAATAATAACTAAAATACTAAGGAACTTTGGATTATTTACCTAACCAGTTCTTTCCTATTTTCTATATATTCACACACACACACACACACACACACACACACACACACACACACACACACACACACACACACACACACATATATATATATATATTTTTTTTTTAAACATTTTTATGTTTATACATTCTTTTTTTTATAGATACAAAAAATTTAAGTAAATGCTCTGTTTATAATAAAGAATATTAACAACATTTACCGGTCTGAATGTCCGAGAAATTGTCATAGAAAATATGCGTCCTCCGACAGGAATCGAACCTGTATCCTATACAGAAACGTCATATAGCATGACGTGCTTTTACTTTTTGCCACAGAAGAGCGCTTTTTTTTTTTACATTTGGATACGCATCGAGCAGATAGGAATGTACGTGAAAAAAAAACATGGAAAATTGTAGTTTAAAAACAATAAAATCGACCTTGCTAATCAAAACGCTCCTTTATTCTGGCTCAAGGCCACGGCAGATGAGCAACCTTGACCATTCGAACTCACTAGGTTCCAGCTTCTCTCTCGAACTGATTCGAGATAGAGTCTTCCATCACTTTTGACCCGTCAAAAAGAGACGAACAAGGCAATCGCTTAAGTCTGATTATCAAACAGCACTTTCTGTACGGCAGAAGCGCAAACCATTTGTAATCTACAAGCTTTCATTAAATATATATATAATCATTTCAAGCTAAGTTAATTGTTATTCCCAATGTTAGGGCGAATATTGAATCAATTGCTAAATAAAGCCGCTGACTTGCCTCACGACCACAACCTACATTGAATAAAGCCGGTCATTTTATGATCGTCGTATCGAGGAATTCAAACTCTACCTAATTTAATAGAATTAAACATAAATGATCTTTCCTTATTTATGTTGAATCGGTAATTATATAAATCAGTAATAACAGTATATTTAAAAATAATAATTTTACTATTGGTTATAACATATTTCTCCCGGACGTAGATGATCATAGCTCTTCACAGATATATTTTCTTATTATCTATGAATTGCAATGATTTATTGGGAAAGATAGTGGAGTTATTTCTCGTTACCTTTTCCACGGCTATAAATGCCATGTCCTCTCAGGATGTAAGCGATCATGACTCTCTACAGGTCCCTTTTCTTTATTATTTGTGAATTACCATACATTCATCAGAAAGATAGAGGAGTGGTTTCCCGTTATCGTCTCTACGGTTTTAAATAACATGTTCCTTTAGGACGTAGACGATCAAGGCTCTCCACAGATTCCTTTTCTTTATTATCTATAAATTGCCAATATTTACTGGGAAAGATGGCGGAGTGGTTTTCCAGGGTTTCAGTTCAATGTAGACCTTCTTCCAGATTGATTGCCAGTCAGAGCTAGAGTGTCAAAACTACCCTGCTATTTCAGCCGTAGTTGGGACGTGGGGAAGGACAGCGTATTCATGTCTTTCCCAAGGACATTAATATCGAATGTCCAGATTGTGTAACTGTTGTCGGCACGGAAAATGGAGTCGACCGGCCGAGAGTTCAAATTCGATTTTGAAAAGGTTGGTTTGTTTTACGGCATATCAACATCTTAGTGGGTTATTTAATACAGAAAAGATTTATACAATGTGTGAATAGAATATGTATTCTTTGTAAGATATCTGTTTGTAAATCAGGTTTCACTGGCGTATTTTTGTAAACAGGGTTTTTATCGAGAGTCAAATGTAATACTGTTAATATTTTTTTCCAAAAATCTATTGCTAGTATTTTTAATATCAAAATCTATTTTTATACTTTCATAGTATTTTTGACTGGGACCCTAACAGGTGCTACCACCTTGGATCAGGATGGACCTGGAACAGCAATAAAGAGGTGGTTCCACGATCCTCAAAACTTCCCGATCAGAGACATTGCTGCCGGATGTAGTTTATCGTCATACCCAGGACGAAGTAAAATAACCTGACCAGAACAATGTAGATGGATTTGCAAATAAGAGTAGATAGGTTTGAATCTCTACCTCCGTTCGAGAGATCGGGGAGGAGTGTGAACCTGGCAATAGACAAACGTATGTACTTCTATTAAAAGTGGAACAAAAAAGGTATTAATTATGCAAAAAGAAATCTAAAGATGTTTAAAGTTACTAACCAGTATATCTGACATCTACCTCCAAATCTACCACCAAAACATTGTCAAACTCTGTATCTGCTGATTCCAGATCTAAACAGATAATGATAACAATAATAACATCCCCGCCCCCCAAAGCAAAAAAAAAAATTAATGTATCAGATTAAGATCTGACAGGATAACGTTATCTCCGTTTACTCGCATCGACAGCTGACAGCCCAAGTCACACAAAAGCTTTGAATTATCTAAATCTTTTAATTGCTTCTATATAAAACATTCAGAAACTTGGGAAAGTTATGAATCCTTTTTTTTCTCCCCACAGCTATGGGTAAATAGAAGAACAGTCTGGGTCCTGTAGTCTTGGATGGCAACTGGTCTACCACAGAAAGAAATGGCAACCTACTGCGGGAAAAATCTGCCTCGTCAGTCATATATCGAAAGGTACATGATCGCCTAAGTTTGTATCACGCATGGCACATAACTGACTGATATTAAACAGTTTCTAGTAAAATAATATGGTTTGGTTTGGTTTATTTTGTTCTACGGCATATCAACACCTCAATGGGTTATTTAATACCGACAAGATTTTTATAATAGATTCGTATGAATAGAATATGTATTTTTTGTAAGATATCAATTTATTGATCGGGTTTCATTGACGTATTTTTGTAAAGAGGGTTTTTGTCAAGAGTTTGGTTTCATTGATGCATTCTTTTTAGATATACAATTTGTAGAAAAATTGATTTTATTGACATTCTTATTAGGTTTATATTTTTTTGGTAGAGGCCCACAGTTTTGAGAAAAGATATGTCATCCACATTGGCTTCCTTGAAGATCTCGTACATGATTTTTATATTATAGCATTTTTGTCTTGAGAGAGCAAGGAACACTGAACACTCAGTTAATATATTTCTAACTGTATGCCGTTTCATATGCTTGGCATACTGGTTGATATTTTTGTTTGGTAATTAATGTCGGGAAACAGACTTAACCGGTGAGGGCGTTTTTTTTTTTCCCGTTGTGGCCTCTGTCATTTTTTTCCAGCACTGTTTTATGGCCATCCGCCATTTTAAAAATTATTTTCAAACTGACTTTACATTGTTAATCATCAACTAATATACATCCTGCCCCTGCATTGTCGGTGCGTACTACGCATGAACACCGACGGCGTTGTAGCCCAAAAGGGCTAGTTTCAGCAGCGTCTTATTGCTTTTTGTACATTTTACTTTTTTTCTAACTAAGCTATATTGTCAGTCATCTACTATAATAATCGACAGGTCCGGTGCTTACTACCCCGAACCTCTTTAACCGTTTAGGGACCCCATGCCTAGTGGAGAGGGGGGTGCAGGAGTGTTAATTTCAGTAGCGCTTATTTTTTTTAATTTTAATTTTCTTTTTGAACAGTTCTTTTAAATCAATTAAGAGATTAATATATTTTTTTATTCTGGGAATTCCATTTTTTTTACTAATAGTAATACTAACCAGAAGTCCACGGCTATTAATTAAAATAGAATTTCTAGTCCCTAGTTTTTACATTTTTAGAAAGATAAAACAGAGAAAATGATCGCTTAAAAAATAAAAATGTTTAAAGATTTCAATACATGAAAAAATTTCCCGAAAACTGAAATGCTGTTTTTAAAACGAATTTTAAGACAATCCCGTTTGTGTTGTGTTGGAATCTTTGTAAAACTTCTTTTTTTTTTCAATGAAGATGCCTCGGCGATTAATCTTTATGGAAATGTAAACATTTGCGACTTTTTTGGTCAGCATAATCGATCAAGCGAAAGTTAGGAACCAAGAGAAGTCGAGAAAAAAATAAATACAGACAGAATGACGGTAAGGAGATGAAAAATTCAATGCTATCTATCTATCTATCTATCTATCTATCTATCTATCTATCTATCTATCTATCTCAGTCTATTCCTATCTATCTATCTATCTATCTATTCTATCTATCTATCTATCTATCTATCTATCTATGTCTATTCCCTATCTATCTATCTGATTTTGCAAATTTCAGATAAATAGTGAGATATACGTAAAATGGTGATAGACTGAAATATACAGAGATAGATACAAAATGTTTGATATATATATATATATATATATATATATATATATATATATACAATCTGGAAAGTAAATACCGGATGTATGTTCTAAATTGAATACTTCTGTCGACATGCGGCCATGAGCTCATTTTTCTTAGAAAAAAAAAAGAGGGAACTGCTTCACCGTTCTTTTGATGGTTCTAGAATGGACTTTGAAGATGGAAGCCAGAGTATGAATTTTGGTACCTTTACTGAAGGCCTCAATGATCTTTTTCCACTCACTATTGCTCAGTTGGGAAGACAGTGAGGCTGACACAAAACGATTTTAACCCGTTCTCTTTTTAATTGAATCACAAAGTGTTTTTCAGTGATTCTTACGATAAATGGCGTCAAAATGGCTAAACGTTTTATCTGGAAACCTGGAAAAAATTAAATTATTTTAATGTTTTTTTCCCTATTAAACTTTTTGTGGAATGGATAGAAATATAATTCCATAAATTTTTAATCGGATTATGGTCCGGACTTCGTGGAGGCTACAAATGACATCCATATTATGGTGAACAAAAAATTGCATTACTTTTTTGGCTTTGTGAATGGGGTTATTATCTTGTTGATAAATAGCTCCAGGTGGCATTTGGTCAGTCAAATATGGCACAATATGTTCCTTAACTAGCTGCATATAGCCTACACTGTTGAGTTTTCTATCCACTATAATAATTGGAACAATATCAAAGCTACTGAGCGCATTCCACACCATTAGACAACCGCCTCCCGCCGTCTTTTTGACACCTTTCGGATGGAATTTCTCGGTTGTGTGGCGTCTGACAAAGGTTTTTCCATTCGATCCAAAGTTGCAAAATCGTGACTCATCAATCCAGAGAACTCTACATCAGTCGTCGTTCGTCCATTGAATGCGACATTTCGTGAAATTCAGCCGCTTGGGTCGATTCCTCTTCGAAATAATTGGCTCTTTTCTAGCAATTCGCCCAAATAATCCAAATTCTCTTAGACGGTTTGTGGCGTAAAACTAACGCCAGTTTTAGCAGATAATTGGCTGTAAATGTTCACGGCCGTCAGCATTCGGTTAGCTTGGGAAAGCCTATGAATTCGTTTATCAAGTTGCATTGTTGTTTTTCTTGGGGCTCCCGATCTTTGCCTATCCTTATATTATTCCGTATTTTTAAGGCAATTCATCCCAAGCAATGCGGGAGTGCCACTAGCACGAAAGGGGTTACAGAAGAACAAGAATAAAGAGGCGTGTTTGAGGAAAGGAAAATATACAGAGAAGGACAGGGAACAAAATCAAGGTACCAGAAAATATCGATTGACATTACACAATATTTGAAGGTTATCGTCATCGAGGAAGCAAGTAAGGGGAAGGGAGTTCCACAGACAGGAAGTGCAGGAGAAGAAGAGAGGGTTACATTTAACCGTTTTGACAATAAAAGTGTGGGACCGAGGTGCCAGCCTGGTAGCACGTTTACATTCATGTAGCCCGGGACCCAGCGAAAGTACCTTGTTGGAACAGTTGCCGTGAAAATATTTTTAGAAGAGACAGAGAGAGGCCACGTCACGTCTGTGGGATAACGAATGTAGACTAGATATCAGATCAGGACCTATCACATTGCATATTCGTCTCTGGATTTTATCGAGGACCTCGAGACGTACAGCAGGATCACCAGACCATATATGACAGCAATATTCCATGCAAGGACGGATGGTTGATTTATAGATTTGAAGGATGGACTCAGACGAGAAAAACTTTCTAGTGTGACACAGAGAACCAACTTTCCTTGCGGTAGATGAAGCTATTGATTCAATGTATTTATTCCAGCTCATGTAAGCGGACAGCGTGAGACCAAGCAGGCGTAACGAGGCACTCTCGAGGAGTTGGGAATCAGCCATTCTGATGGGAGGCAGGAAGGGTTCTCTATGGTGGGTAAAGGAGAGCAGTTTTGTCTTGGAGGCGTTAAAGTTTACAAACCATTTCCTGCCCCAGCCAACCACAGATTGGAGCTCCTTTTCGAGATCAGCAGCCAGATTAGTTTTGTCAACGATACCAGATTTACAGGAAGGAGCAAATAATGGTATCGTCCGCGTAGATGAGAGTTTGGGAACTGATGACATCGGAAAGGTCATTGATGAAGGTCAGGAACAGTGTAGGGCCGCAGATACAACCTTGGAGGACACCAGCGTTCGTGATAAAGTAGCCGGGGCAGAACACGTTTAGGACGACTTTCATTACACAGTTTGACAGGAATGATTGTATTAAGTCAAATAATCATCCTGTAATACCATATTCCTGAAGCTTATTGTTGTGGTACGATCCACCTAATTTACATAAGTGGAGTACCGACCATATAAATATGGGTTGGTACCGGGAAGACGGAGGAAGTAAGAAGAGATCCAATCGAGAGACTCTGCCCGACTGCGATTTAGTCAACCCATTCTGCAGGAACAGTCTTCCCAAGAATATATCAAAACTAACTGTAAATATTGTGTACCTTTTCCTTGTTTCAATACATTTTGTTTACGTACATTTTGTGTTGTATTATTATTATTCCATGCTTATCCAAGCTTCAACACTTATGAAGAAGGCCAACATGCCAAACCCTATCAAACGCTTTAGAGAGGTCCAGAGCCACAGCTCGAGCTTCTCCATTATTGATGAGTGCTTGGTTTACAAATTCAGTTATGGCCGTGAGCATGTAGATCGGGCAAAACAGAAACTGTCGGAGAGCAGATGAGTGCTTGGTTGATTAAAACCTCAAAGACTTTATCGAAGAGTGGTAGGAGACTGATAGGACGTGAGCAGAAATGTTCTTAAAGACAACAACAGATGAGGACTTCCAACAGGCTGGAAAAGCAAGAGTCCGTGAAAGTTGTAAAGTTTAGAGAGGACATGAGCCAATTCAGGAGCACATTTCTTCAGGACAATAGCCGGTATCTCGTCGCCACCACTAGCCTTATGGGAGTCTAATTTAGAGATGATGTCCGCTCAAGACGTTATGCAAGAGTTAGGGCTCCTAACTACCAGTCGGGAACAGCAACCAGAAAGCTGTCAACCAGGTACCCTAAATTTGAAAAGACATTGCCACAGACTGCGCATATCCCATGGGATTCACGACAGCACTAATACAGAGGCCAGAGAAAAGGAAAAAATCTGGGACCTCTTTCCTAAACAGGAAACAAGGAATGAGTCTCTGTTCAAGAGAAGCAGGGGGAATGTTGACCGGACGATAGGTAGACTTATCTACTCTTATTACATACACACACGCAGCAGAAAAAAAATGTCTATATATAAAGTTTTAACTTAGTTTAAGTGCCAACATACACTTTGGCGGAAGGGAAGAAGGACTAAGCTGAGCCACATGTCCGATATAGCCTGGTTGAGAAATTTAACTGTTCGTTGCTAGCATGATCAAAGAACATTATTCTAAACTCAGAGAATTAGTAACAGTAAATATTCAAAGAAATAAAGATTGGTTAAATTTAATTCAACACGAAAATAAATAAATAAATAAAATGTTTAAGAAGAGTTTGAAATGATTTTTAAAAGATGACGAGCGACAGAGGTTTCATATCAAATGCTGTTAGGGCAAATGCATGGAATAATAATAATTGCTTGCTTGTATTCATAAAGGAAACATGAAAACACTATTTTTGATCTTGTACTGGCCTTAGAACAAAGTGAATTAATTGTATAACAAAACAATGCATTAAAAGTGACCAACCATTTACAAATAATTTATAATATAGTCTTATTTGCTGGCAAATTTATAATTTTATTTAATCCAGCATTAAAATTTTTCAAGTTGTAGAAAAACATACAATTTTGGAGAAATAAATTGTTAAAATACAAAATAAAAATTAATTTATATTATTCGGGCATATTAGAAATGAATTGAATCTGACCATGATTCCTAAACCCTTTTCCAGTGTATATATATATATATATATATATATATATATATATTATATATTTATTTGATTGTTAAAATAAAGTCAAGATAGATAATCAATTGAAAAGAATATAAATAAAAAGGCCTAAACATTAATTTGTAGTCTGATGAACTAGATTCATCGTAAATGTGATATGGGCCCTATATATATATATATATATAGAAAGGAGCTATCAGTATATATATAGCCTGCAACATAGTGTATATATATATATATTTATATATATATATATATATATATAGGGGCACCCTTCCATGCGCGACATATATATATAATATATATATATATATACATATATGTTGATCATAGCAGACGCTCATATATATATACGCAATATATATACACATATATATATATAACTACCATATATATACAGCAACCATATAAATATATCAACCTGGTATACTCACATATGAACATATATATATACACACAGATATATATATGCACACATATATATATATATATATATATATTTACAACAGCATATATATATATACAGAGGCACATATATAATATACACAAACACACACGGGGAACACATATATTTATATATATAATATATAACAAGGAATGAGTAGATGATATCCACAAACAGACTGTTTCCCAGCTCATCAGTGTGGCTTGAATTTTGACCAGGACGATATTGTAGGAACTTATCTACCTAGTCCCTATATTACAATTCATTGTCAGGGGTGGGTAAAGCAACAAAAAAAATGTCTATATATAAAGTTTTATTCTTATGTTACAGAAATGTGGCACAAGGCCAAAATGGTGAATAGGGAAAAACAGTCTTCTTTGTCTTAACTTTTATACTTAGCTAATAAAAAACAGGACCCAAAACAAACCAAATATTCCTAACACCAAAACAACGCATTCTTTTTACTTACCTTTCTTACTACATCCACCATAATACCTCATTGTCTCTGAAAGCCACTAAACCCCATATTTACAATCCTGGAGGAT